CTTCCTATTCCTATTATTGAATATTCCTATGATGACTATGGTGCACCATTTGTATTTGTGCCATAGTTTTTGGATATTTTATTGCTGTCTTTCTTCATTCTTTTTATCTTTGATTTCCAGTCTGTGAAATTTCTATTGACAGATCTTCAAACTTCCTGATTGTTCCCTTGAACTTGTCTAGCCTACTGAGGAGTCCTCCAAAGGCCATCTTCATTTTGCTTACAGTGATTTTTATTTTTAGCATTTCTCTTTAAATTTTTTCTTAGCATTTCCATCTCTCTTCTTATACTATCTATATGTTCTTGTATGTTGTCCTCTTTTCCCATTAGAACCCTTATAATATTAATCAGTTGTTTTAAATTTCCAGTCTGATAACTCTAAATTCTCTGCAATATCCAAGTCTGACTTTGATGCTTGCTTTGTATATTTAGATTGTGTTTTTGCCTTTTAGTGTAAGCAGTGCTCCCCGCCCAAAATATTTCTCCTCCCCACTTCCATCACAGCAGATCCTACTAGAGATGGACCTGCTAATGGAAGACAAGCAGAAATACATATCATGAACTTGCCTCTATAGCCCTACCCATCCCAGCAGAACCTGGTAGAGAATGCTGAGAAGCCCTGCGCAGTACAGAAGTGTCATAAGCAATTGCTTGAAGGGAGGCAGAGCTGCAAGATCATGAACTTGCCACCTTGGTCCCACCCAAACCATTAGAGCCGGGTAAAGAAATCAGAGACACGTTAAACAGTACAGCAGTGCCACCAAGTTATGCACTTGCCTCCACTGCCCCACCCATCCTGGCACATCCTGGTAGAGGCAGTGCAGACACCTCCAAAAACACAGCAGAAGAAGTGCCCATCAGTTCTCCACCACCCGCCACATACCCCATCGCCGTGGTAGTGACCTGTAAAAGGGGCAAGCTGGTCACAAAGTATATACACCTACTATCTAGTGGGTACACAGACTTTTTCTTTTTAAAAACAATTTTATTGTATTTTTTCCATTACCATTTATCCCCTTTACATTCTCTTCCACCTCTACCACCCCTCAATCACCACACTGTTGTCCATGTCCATGAGTCCTCCTTCTTTTTGCCCAGTCCCTCTACCTTCTAACCTTCCCAGGGCTGTCAGTCTTCTAAAAGTCTGTTTCTATTTTGCTACTGAAGAAAAATCACTTCACCACAAAACTAAAGCCACAAATAGAGTGGGTAAAAGGAAAAGAAAACATGTGCAATAAAACATCTTCTGGAAAACAATCTGCTGAATTAATCAGAGCAAAACAGTATCCTTCAAAACTCAGAAACTGGGATTAGTGTCTGTTTCAGTCATTAACTATTCTTTTTCTTTCACTTCCATAAAGATGCCTCTTATTAAGTACCAGATTGCTTACAACCATATGCCTAGCTTTGGAAGCCCACCTGCATCTCTACTTTCTGAAATGAGACACAACTATTTAACTGAACTGGCTTATAGTCAAGACTGAGAGTGGTATAATGAGATATGAAACATTTTATCAACCCAACTTCTGAAATGTGAAACTTCTCAGGAAACTTCAGAGGTTGGAACTGGCTAGGTGAGGTTCAGGACGAGTCACCCCAAGTTGTACTTCTGTGGTACACAGAGTATTTTGAGCTAAAGGTCACTAAGGTCCTGTAGGCTGTAGACAAAAATAAAGTTCAAACCTATAGAAAAATTTTATAACTGATGGCTGGCCCAGAAATAAGATCTCAACGGATTGAGAAAATTCTCTAGAGAATGCAGTTTTGCAGTTCATTTTATACATTTAGAATCAAGGGAAAGGAAGTTTTCATGAAATCCCTTTTTTGGTTGATTAAGGAGGTAGGAGGAAGCAAAGAAGGGAAATCAGAATCCAGTCCAGTTTATAGGATTGAATAAAAAGTAAAATGGAGATACTTACCTGGCAGGGGAGATACCATGATCACGAAGGTGGTTTTCCCAGGGCGAGGCTTATCCATTGCACTCCGGATGTGCTGACCCCTGCGATTTCCCCAAATGTGGGAAACTCGACTGCATAATTTGTGGTAGTGGGGGACTGCGTTCGCGCTCTCCCCTGAAAAAAAAAAAAAAGAAAAAAAAAGTAAAATGGAGAGATACACACTTCTTTTATGTTAGTAAGTACAGGATAGTTAACACTTAACATTTACAGTAAATAGGGATAGTATGCAGACAAGATCATGTATTTCCTTCAGGATAGTTACCCCTCCAGAAGGTCTGGAAGGAAGAATTACTCTGGCATTTCAAGTGTGTTAGCCTAGATGCAATGAACAGTGTTTGCTTAAGGCAAAGATAAACCTTTCACTAAGGAAGCTATATAGGTCTGGCGTGTAGTGACCCACCTTGAGTTGCCAGTTCAATTTACTACATAACCCCTTTTTGGTTCACAGTACATATGTATTAAATGTAGTTATTTTCTCTTGTTAATTTTTTATATATTTAATTATTAGATCAGCCAAAAGAAACTTGAGGATAGGAAAAAGTTCCTTCCTCCCCCATAGGGACATATGAAGTCATGCATCTTTAAAGTCTTAGGTGATAGGTGGCAGCTAAATTTGGGTGTTTCCCCTGTAAGAGGACGTGAAGCCTTATCCCCTTCTGTGAAGAGCAGGACTGATGCCATGTTTAGAGCATGCGCAGTCCTGCCAGATCCCTCAGTTTTGTCTGTGGTAAACAATATGCTGCAGCAGAGCTAAGCAGTCAAAACATGTGCACTAGAAATGACCAAAACAATGTGTTTATCAAAACTGAACACAATAACATGCTTATTGGGACTGAGGAAAACAGGTTTATGAAGAACCATGCAAAACAAAGTGACTTTGCAACCCGAAAGAGCGTAAAAGCAGAAGCTTCCGACAGAAGGGCTGAGTCAAATGAGGGAGAGAGAGGGCAATGCACCGCTGCTTGGGCTTACCCTGCTTGGACTGATTCTGAAGCCACTGCAGTTCTGTCTTGCAAGATGCTGACTGGTGGGCTACCTGGGTGCCCAGGACCTGATCTGAACTCGATTCCTTATCCTCCAATTTTCTTGTGTGTTATCATTGTTGATTTGTTCTTGGATTTATTTGGAATCTATAGTAACCTGAGTGAATAGCATAGTCACCAGCATTGGCTCACTGCTATTCCTTGATGTCCGGGTAAAGGAATATTAGGTTTCCCAGGTCTGAGAGGCTGGTGGTAGTTCAGGCCACCCTGCGGTCTCGGCTCCTAAGGCTCAAGCTGGAACTTGAGGTGGGGCATGACTTACAGGAAAGACTCTGGGGGATACTCATAAGGTTAGAGTGTGGCTGGCAACAACCTCCCTCCCCACTGGGGTCTTTTGTTCTGTGGTTCATCTTTGCCTACTGCCATTGTGTTAGGAATTGTGGCTCACAATGCCAGAGTTTGGTAAAAAGGAAAGGAACTATTTATTCAAGTTATACAGTTTTAGAGTAATGGCGGAATGTCGCCCTTATATCCCAAAGTCCCGTTAAAACACCCACAAATACACACACAGTCCTGTCTCCCCTTGCCAAACCTGTCCAGTCAGGGGTATCATATCACAGGAAAAGAAATAGAAGTCCATAGTTTGGCTAGACTCTCATTCTTAATCCAAAGCCTCATCCTCATGGTGGGCTGGTGGGAGTCCTTCGGCATCCTTTCAAACCTCTAAGAATAAAGTAAACTACATCTTACTCTCCTGCTTCTTAAGCACGGTGGTTAAGAGAACCCCTTCGCAGCTCCCAAAACTATGTGGTTAAGCCCAAGCATGGGTGCTGGGACTGGGTTTGAATCCAGCACGACCTTCCTCCGGTAACTCCGTTTTCGACTCCTCCCACGATCGGCCACCTGCCAGGAGTCTGGTTTCGTCTGCCTTCCTGGATGCCACTTCTAGGCTGGGCAGGTGTGGTCCTGCTGTGTGGAGCAAATCGTCTCCAAGCTTTCCCGCAGTCGCTTTAACTGTGGGAGCTGCCTCCCAGGTACATCATGGGTCAAAGTCATGCCCATCTCCCTAGCTAGCCTGCTGTTATTGAATGCAAAATAGTTCTCAATCCCCGTGCTGCTGCCCCTAAGCTAGGCTTGTTGGGGGTCCCTGAAGCTCTCAGCCTCACAGCCCCATTAAGCCTACACCCCGTTACAAAGTCACCCTTTTTCCAACGCCCCACCCGGTCAGATGGTGGTTCAGGAGATTTCAAAGAGCTCCCCCGATCCCTCCTGGCTGCACGCAGCAGACACACTACATTACCCAGAAGTCTGGGCGGGGTGAGAATTGGGGTAACAGGGGACTGTGAAAGCAACATTTCTCGCTTCCCGAATTGTTGGGCGGGACTTCCGGTGTCGCCAGCGAGTTGGTTCTTCAAACCTGGGGATTGTTTGCTCCCTGGCCCTCTTGGCCAGGTAGTCCTTCACCACCTTGCAGAGAAGCATCCAACGGGAGAGGACAAACACCTCCGCGCGTTCTAGGACCTAGAGGAGGGTTCAGCGAGCCCACGGACTCGCCACCTCTTTCGGCCCTGCTCCGCGCACGGACTTCGTTGTTGGTGGTAGTTCTAAATGGACCTGGCGCAGGTTAGTGCAGAGTGCCCAGACCCCTGCCCACTCGCACTCCTACCTTCATTGTTCGGAGTCCTGACATGAGAGCTGCTGTTAATTAGGCGAGTCCCCGCCTTTCCCTCGCTGCCCTTGTGTCTGCGTGTCCTGGCATGGGGTCACTTACAGCCCATGGTATGAGATCCAGCATGGGGTTTACATAGATTCTGATTTCTGGCAGTCACCAGAATGTTTGTTCGCGATGTGAAAGGAGAAAGTATAGCCTCACAGAATCTCCCCAATACGCGCGACCTGCGTGGGCCTTCCCGCTTGGTTGACGTTAGGCTACCGAGTGCAGAGACCTCTGTGTGGATTACAGGGCTGTGACCTTGTCTGAGTCCACTCGTTATCCTCGGCCAACATTTTCTCTAGCTTAAATGGGAATGTTAACAATTGTTCCTTCATGGTTTAGGGAAATGGAGAGTGCACTTCTGTCACTGTGTCCTCCAGCGCTGCCCAGGGAGCGTCATTCTGTGCTGTTTTGCCAGAGAAGTGCATCCTGGATCTGTGTTAATCTTAAGGCCTTGCAACAAGAAGAATCTGGCCCTTGGGCCTTCCTGGGCTCTGGCCTACACATAACTGATAAGCGGAGTGGGATGGATAGCCTGGGGGACAGGTGGATGGGAAAAACACCTTTGGAATTTTGCTCCTCTGCTGGGGCACAGAAGATCACAGGTCTGCCTGAGAGCCAGGAAGGCCTGCCAATTCATCACTACAGTTACCATCTTGCCAATGGGATTGACTTGTCACTGACAGTAGTGAATCAATTTACCTGTTTAAGACACATTTGAAAAGCAAATCCATTACATATTCAGTGTGGATGACAAAGAGATGCTGTAATAAATGTAACTAAAAGTAACATCACAGGGTGATCTCATCATAAATTCCTAATTGGGCAGTCATACCCCAGGTCTAAACTTCTTTAGTAAAAGGTTTATCTTTGCCTTAAGCAAGCCCTGTCCATTTTCTTGTTCATCTATGTTAACACACCTTTGAAATGACAGAAATATCTTTTTCAAGTCTCTTGGAGAGGTAACAACCCTCAAGGGATAGTTAATCTCGTTAACTGTCCTTGCTTTTCCCACCTTCAGGTAATCTTTAAATTCTCTCCTTAACTCCACTTGTATAAAAGAACTGCAAAACTGTCTTCTAGAGAGCATTTGAGATCTTGCTTTCCTGAAATTGTCATCAGTTTTGGCTCAAATAAATTCTTATAAAAGTTGTCTCCAGGTTTGGATGTTTCTTATGTGAACCTCAGTAATGATGCTGTGCAGGAGTGTTGTGTCTTTAGATGTAAACACAAAGGCCCTATTTTGCTCTCTGAGATGGCACCCTGTTTACTTTTGTCATAATCCTATAATCAGTATCAGGACTTATCTTATTTATTTGTACTCTACATGGTTCCATTTCTCACTTCATTTCATGCTGCCTCCAGTGTCCCCTCCTTGGAGAGGCTTTCCCTACTCACCCAGTCTAATAGTCATTCCCAATCTCTGTTACCCTCATTCTGTTTTGTTGTCTGTAGAATCCTTACAGCCATTCAAGACAGTATTTTGCATTCCTTTCGGGAACCTGTCCTCAACCTGGGAACACCAGCACCTGTTCTCTGCTTTGTCCTCAAATCCTGAACGGTACAGAGCCTGTACCGGGTGTTTTGTAAGTGGTTAATAGTGACTGACACCTCTCCAGGCACGTCTACTGTGGCCTGCAAGGCCCTACTACATCCTCCTCTGCCCCTCCCCCCTCTCTGCTCTCCTTCCGTTCCTCCTTGCTCACTGCACCACAGCTAAGATGCCTTGAACGTTCCAAGCTCTTTCTCATTTCCTGTCCTTCGCCCATGCAATGTCCTCAGCCTGGAAAACTGCCTCCAGACTTCTGCAGGGCTGCCTCTTTATTTCCTTCCCAGCTCTGTCCAGTGTCGCCTCTTAGAAGGGTCTTTCTGTGGCTTTGTTAGTTCTAGATAAATTATTGCCATCCCCACCTGCCCATCATATGAAATCTTTGTGCACAGAATCTGGTACAGTTACAAAGGCCGAGATGGGTGTTTGGTTGATTTTTTTTTTTCCAGAGTATTCTGGAAGCAGAGAGGAAAAATAACTACAACAACCATAGCAGCTGACCTTCATTTAGCACTTGATCTGTGCTGAGATGGATTTAGTCCACCTCCTCAGAGTTAGGTTCTGTTATCCTCCCTGCTTATAGAAGAGAAACTTCTGGCCTGCCAAAGGTCACAGCTCCTAAGTAGCCAGAAGTCAATACCCAGTACACTGACCACCAAAGCCTGCATTCTGAATGACCCTCCTACCCCAAGTGGGCTGGGGAGGCCTGGAGGTTACACCTAATCAGAACTTTGCAAGGAAGGAGGTGTCCCTTTGGCATGTGGACTTGGGAACAAAGGAGGATGGCAGACCTTTCCAGCCACGTGGAAGTGTATGTACACAGGTAGGAAATATCTCTGAGGTGTGCCTCAGGGGGGTGCGATTGTGTAGTCTTTTACAGATGTTCAAATTCTGCCTGTGTTCCTGGGACATATAACTCTGGGTGACTTGCTAAAGCTACCTGAGACCCACTGCTGTGCTGTGGAGATGATGATGGTGTTAACATCGTCGTGGTGGGTGGTAATGGAAGTAGGAAAAACATGTCGAGCACTGACATGTGCTAGGCATTCCAGGGTTTGCTTCATGAACATTCGTTCTTAATTCTTACAACTACCTAGTGCAATGGGAACTATTACTATATTGATGTGGAAATCGAAGTTCAGAGAAATAAATTGACTTTCCCCAAATTACAGAACAGGCAAGTATCATTCCCAGTAGGCTGTATTCCAAGTCAGAATCTAGCTGCAGAGCTGGACATTGTAATTGCTAAAATATGACGTGTGAAGTGTTAGCATGGCACAGGCATGTGTAAAGGACCAGCAAGGCTCAACTTCTGCTGCTTTTGTCATGATTGGTGCTTTGGTCATTGTCATGCCCTCCCTTTTTCTCTTCACTCCCAAAGTGTTTGATCTCTGTGTCTCAGGCCATACAGCTTTGCCATTGTCTTGTGCCTTTTGTGAATAGTTTCAGCATGGGCATTTTTTGTCTCTAACATGGTCACATTCTGTCCAACAGTAGTGTCTGACTCCTTGGAACTGAAACAGGGCTAAGCTTCTAGAAAGTGCTCTCTGATACTGGCCTTGGGGTGCTATGGTCCTTTACCAAGGACTGGGCATCGGGCTTTAATCTCATGGACTGGCCCTGGGCCAATGACACTACCTGTGTTTGACTTTTCAGGCATCGGTTACCTTCAAGGATGTGGCCGTGACCTTTACCCAGGACGAGTGGGGGCACCTGAACCTTGCCCAGAGGACCCTCTACAGGGAAGTGATGCTGGAGACCTGTAGGCTCCTGGTCTCTCTGGGTAAGGCCTCACTGCTCCTTTGTGTGGGCACCCACAGCCTCCTTCGCTCTACCTTTTGTTCAGAAGATTTCTACAGGATGCACTCTCTCCTGCCCATGGCCCCCGTGTGTATTCATTTCACCTACTTCTGCCTGTTTCCCTGTATCTCTTACAGGGAATTGTGGGTAAGAAATGTAATTCCTCTCAAAATGGCTCAGGTACCAAAGAAAAAGGATTTGTAGGAGGAAATAATGGGTTTCTTTTAATATCCAAGGGCAAGATGTCCGGGCAAGATATCCAGGCAGGAATCATGAGAGGCTAAAGACAGAAAATGGAAGAAATCCTGATTAGATCTTGGCCCCAGAGACTTCTGAGCTTTATGCCTCCTTGTGTCATTCTCAGGAAATTGGCTTTTTCTGCCACAGGGAGTTGATAGCTGGAAGCAGCCACTCCTGCCCTTGCTCTAAGAAACCCCCAGTTCCTTGTCTCTACTTTCTGTGTGTGTGTGTGTGTGTGTATTTTATATATATTATGTGTGTGTGTGTGTATATATATATATAATATATGTGTATATATATAATATGTGTGTGTGTATATATAATATGTGTGTGTATATATATAATATGTGTGTGTGTATATATATATAATATGTATATATACTTTTTCCATATCTCTCTCTTCCTCTCTACCAGGCTGTCTCTGCATGGCTGTCCGAAGCCCACACTTCCCTTTACTTCTCACCCTGGTCTTTGGCACAGGCTGGCTTTAGTCTGCCCCTTCTCCAGATTCCCATGAGATGGAAGCTGAGTAGCCAACCTTGGCTGGTTCACAGCCCATTCAGCAGGACCCATGGGTAATGGGATATTGTTCAGAAAATGAGTGAACCAGACAGGATACCAGGAGGTATGAGTCCTACTGGTTATTGTTCTAAACAAGACAATTTATTTAAAAGGCTTATTTGACCCTTGATGCCCACCTGCTCATCTTTTGTGTCCTAAAGTCTGTGCCATGATTCTCTCTTGGTATGGCAGATCATTATAGGGGGTACGAACACAAGAAATGGCATTGGTGGACAATTAGAGGAAGCCATTCCCTTTTCTCTTTTCTTTTTTAAAGATTTTTATTTATTTTCAGAGAGTGGAGAAGGGAGGGAGAAAGAGAGGAAGAAAAACATCAGTTAGTTACCTCTTGCTCTCCCCCAAATGAGGACCTGCTCTACAACCCAGGCACATGCCTTGACAGGGAATTGAACCAGCAACCCATTGGTTTCACAGGATGGTGCTCAACCCACTGAGCCACACCAGCTAGGACCCTTTTTTCTTTGCTGCTTGCTGATTGTTTAGGGAGACAGTGTCTGTTTTGTGCTGAGTCTTTTTTAATGCCCCTTTGACTTCTGGTAATTTCCCTCTTCAACAGAGGAGACAGCCTCAAACTCACAGTCCTGGGCAGACAGTGTGAATTCACTGAGACTTAATAGTGCTATCTTGATTTTCTTGTAGTAACTTTGTTTGTGGCAAATGAAACTGGTTTTTTGAATTTTCAAATTGACACAGGATTCCCTTTTTGAAGATATGTATTAAAATAAAATAAAAAGTGGGTCAGTGTAAAGAAAAGCAATTCATAGCAATGGTCATAATGTCCCATGAGCACTGGTGTATATGGATCCTGTGACTACATCTGAACAGTTTGGGAGTGCGGTTCTCTAGGATGGAGGTCAAGGGAGATGGAATCGGCATAGGCAGCCAACGCTTCCTTACTCAGTATTTAGGACCGAATGACAATATTCTTGGCCTTGGTTTCCAGGTCACATATCAACTTGGACAAGAGCAGTCTCATTCTGAGGTTTCCTCTCTATCTTGAAGTTCCAGACATTGTTGACACATTTCTTTTTGTCTTTGCTAAGATATGCATATATTATTTCTTTCACTACAAACAGGATACCCAGTTCCCAAATCAGAGCTGATCCACCTCTCGGAGCACAGGCAGGAGCTATGGATGGTGAAAAGAGGCCTTTCCCAAAGTGCCTGTCCAGGTGGGTGGCCAAGATTTATGCAGTGAGTGTCATGGAAGCCTAATGGTGAGGAGCCCACTCTCTGAAATCTGTGGGAAGCTTCTTGATGTGGCCTCCTTGGGTGCCTGGGGTTTTGATGTCCCTCTGTCCTCCCACTTCAACAAACTCTTTACTGCCACCAGGTAAAGAACCTGTATTGTTAGATAAGAGTGAGGCTCTGGGCTCCAACTCCTTGGTCTTAAAACATGTCTTTGCCCCTACCAACCTTGTGACAATAGGGACGTGGCATGGTTTTATTGTATCTCATTTAGCTAAGTTAGGCTGTTAATGCTCACTGCATTAACATGTAATCTCCAAAATGTCAGTGGCTCAATACCTGAAAAATATTTTTCTCACCTATGACAGGGTCCATGTGGGTCAGTGTGGGAGTTTATATCACACAGTTATTCAGAGACCCATGTACCTTTTATCATCCACATGCAGCTTTATGGTTACCCTGGCATCTTTCTGTTGCTAAGGGCAAACAAGAGGAAGCTAGAGTCGCACCCAGTTGCACACACATATCACTTCCCTTCACATTTTGTTCAAAACTCAGCAGTTGGCCATCCCTCTTTGGATGCATCAGGGAAGCGAGATTTAGCTGTGTGCCCAAAGAGAAGAGCAGTTGGGTTTGGTTTACTCTGCCTACTCTTATAAAATGAAAGTGGTAATAATTTGTAATTCATTGAGCTGTTTGAAGGTATAATCATTTAATGTGTGAAGCTGCTAAGCACCATGCCTAAGTTACAGTTAGGAGCTCAACAAAAGTCAGCTATTAGGATCTTTCATGTGATATCAATCACAATGCATAATATCTCACATGCCCTTCTGGACTAGTTACAAAAAGAGCCTATCTTACTATATATGCCTATAATTTATTCCCACCCTTCTCCACCCATTCATCCATCCTCCTGTTTGTTAGGCAGAAGTAGTCTATTGCCCCATTGACTATCTGCCCCTCCTTTACTAAAACTTTAAGATGACATTTGGCTCTGTCTGCCCCACATCTGGGCTGGTGACGGCAGTGGGAGTCATCATGTGTTTTGATTGGCGCCACTGCGGAGCCATGTCTTGCCTGTCTCCTGCTTCCCTGCACTGCTCGGCCAGCTGGCGAGTATCTCTGGCCAGCCCCTCTTCACCGTGGCCGAGTCTCTTCCAAACACTTATTTTTCAGTCACATTTCACGTTCCATAAAAGTCTTCATGCCTAGAAGGATATCATAATCTTGTCCACTCCTTGGCTGACAGTTTCAATAAATGGCCCCATCACTCAGTTGAGAAGGGGAAACAACCTTGAACAAATCCTTAACATCCTGCCTTCATCTAACCCAACATCCAGCCATCCTCATCTTGCTTATTTTGTTTTTCACATCAAGTGCATCATCACTTCTGCCACCTCCATGAGCTCCACCACTAATATGCCAGACTAAGCCCTCATCACTTTTGATGGTATGATGCCAGCACACTGCTAACTGGTCAACCCACATCTTGCCTCCTTGTTTCTGGTCATCTCTGTATCCTGCACCAGCTCCCCCATCCACTTAACCATTGATCCAAGCATCAACCACTCCCTGAACCCCTGATGTCTCAGCATACAACCTACACCATGTCTTCCTGCTCCTCAACCTTATAGATTCATCTTTGTCTGTCTCATGCCTGTAGCACCCTTTCTGACATCTGTGGGAGAGATCTTGCCCACTGCCATGGCTACTTCCTATAGCAGAGCCTAACTCACATCTGCCTCTCAGAGACCTTGTTTCTTCACTTATTTTCTTTCTTTTGTATCTTCATTTCCCTCTAGTCAATTTAAAAACAAAACAAAACACACTCAGGGTGCTTACTTGAGGAAAATACAACACACAAAACAGTCCTGGCTCCATGGCAGTTTCTAAATGTTGACTAACACATTTGTACAACCAGACTCTTGGAAGAGTTGTCTTATTCTTGGAAAAGTTGCATACACTTGACTTCCTCATCTCCACTGAACTCTTTTTCTTTTCCTCCTAAATTATGAGAAAGTTTATTTGGAAAGTTACAGAGGTAGTAGAAGTCAGCTGGACTGTGTAGGCTCAGGAAACAAGTAACAGAAGCATAAAACAAAGGGGGAGGGGCCCTTGAAGCTGAGGACAGAGAAAGGCAAAGGTAATGCACCTGGCAGAAAGAAGAGGGGGAAGGGGAAAGTGTGGGCTCCAGAGAGGGAGAGTGCCCACTCTATTCTTTATTGTTTTAATTTTTAAACTTGCATGCAGCAATATGCATATATCTTAAAGAGTTCAGTCTGATGCATTTTTACATAGATATAAACCCATGTAATCACCACCCAGGTCAAACATGCACCAGTTCCAGCAGTTCAAGAGGCTTCTGATGCTTCCTCCTAGAAAGGGAACCAGTGTTTAGATTGTCACCACAGATTCATTTTGACGGTTCTAGAATTAATATAAATGGAACCCAACCATGTATTCTGACATGTCTGTCTGCTTTTTGATCACCAGTATGTTTGTGAGATTCATTCTCGTGTTTGCTTCTAGTTGAATTCTGTTCTTACTCAATAATTGGCAGTATCTCATTCTAAGTATGTACTTTCTCCTGTGATTGTCATCTTAATTTTTTCCCATATCTGATATTATGCATATTTTTCTCATTATTTTTGTAGATACAAGGACTCATTTCTGTTGGAAAATGACAGGGTCTCAGGGTAGGTCCATGTTCAGCTTGCCGGCTGTTGCACAGTGGCTGCACCCTTCGCATTCCCACCAGCCATGTGGGAGGGTGCCCAGTGCTCTGCATCTTCATCAGCACTCAGTATCTCCCCCACCCTCTTATTTTTGAGGCCTGGTGGTGAGGCGGCTCAGAACCACAGCACTGAAACCGTTCTTGAGGAGGTTGCTGCTCTTATCCTTATTGCCAAATATAATAGCAATGATAAATGACAATGGAAAATGGCCCACAATTTACTGAACATCACATTGTGCCTGACATGGTGTTGCATACTTTATGGGTATTGTTAACTCTCATGGCAGCCAGTAAATTAGTCTCCCAGTCTTTCATGATATTTAGAGTCAGTTAACCACTGTCGAGCTGACTATGCTTGGTTGCAGGAGTTGGCTGAAGTGACAGTCTTCACCACCACATTACACTATTTTTCGATGTATCAGAAACTTGGTCCACTTTTTTACACCTGAGCTTTGGAAGCATTTAGTCCCAGTGGTCCCTCTTTCCCAATTCTGATTGCATGGTTCTCTGCCTTTTATGTTGGTCACCATCTCAGTATTAGCTTCATCTAGCATCTCATGGTCCTTCTTCCTTTTACTGCAATTAGTCTCCCAGAATGATCCAGCTGTACTTAGTTCCTCAACTTCAACTCATGCATGTGTGTCCCATGTTCCAGCTGTAATGTAGACAGGCTAGTTAAAAAATATTGATGGCTTTTTCGGTGCTTGCACTGCATTAAGCACTGTGTGTGTCCTGTTTCACTTCCTTCTCACAGGGATCTATAAGGCAGACAGTATTTGTAGCCCTTATTTTTAGATGAGGAAGCAGAGCTTGTGGAAATTGAGTGGCTTACTGAAAGGCACAAAACTAGCAAAGTTGTTGCTGGGATTTGAGCTTGGTCTGGTTCTCCCTAGATACTATGACATTAACCACAATACTTTGTTGGTTTCTAACATTTATAATTGACTAAAGGTGTACAGAGTTATGTTAATTATATATCTTGGTTTATAACACACTCTCATCATTTGTCAGTGAGCTGTCATGTTTATTTTAAAACTTTTCTCAGTCATTTATTTCCTCCAAACAATTCTATCATGAACACCATCAGCCAATGCAAGAATAGCAGCTTTGCCAATATGGATATATCTGTCTATACCTTTCTTCCCTTTCCTATCTTCTCCCTTCCCCATGAAGATAATCACTTTCTTAAACCTTGCTTTTATAATTTCATTACTTTATATGTGGGACTATTTTGTATTATAAATTGAATTTCTTTTATAGATATGGTGATTTCACATTTTCTGTTTCTTGTATTAGTTTTTTTATTTTGCATCTTTCAAGCAATTTGTTTGTTTCATCTAGTTTTCAATTCATTCCTTAGTTTTAAACCTGTTTGTAAGCATACTTAAACAGTGTATTGTATAGCTTTTTTTTTTAACTTCTGAGGAATGGTGTCATAATTGATTGCTGTGGTTTTCACATGTTCCCCAAAATTCAGAGGTTGAAATCCTAACCTCCGAAGATGATGGTATTGAAGATCTGGGAAGGTGCTTAGTCATGAGGGTAGAACCCTCATGAAGGGGATCCGTATTTTATAAAACAGGCTCCAGAAAGATCCTTGGCCCCTTTCACCATGTGGGAACAGTAAAAGGTGCCAGCTATGAACCATAAAGAAGGCTCTCATCAGAACACTCCCGTACCTTGATCTTAGAATTCTCAGCTTCCAGAACTGTGAGAAACAAATTTCTTTTGTTTATAAGCCACCCAGTCTGTGGTTATGTTGTTATAGTAGCCCAAACAGAATAAGACATTAATGTAGTCTTCTGAAACATAATTTTTAAAAATTCAGCACCCAGTTACTAAGAATCGTGTGTATAAGCCATAGTTTCTTTTCATCTCAAAATATTCTATTCTATTGCATAAATATATCACAATGTATTTGCCCATTTTTGTAGACATTTACCTACTTCCATCATTATATCCAGAAAATCTGACTTCACTGAACTGGTCAATAATGATACTTTTTTCTATTTTTTTGTGTGGTCACCATCCTGCTGCTTTGAAGAATCTTATACATATATGTGTGTGTAGTCATCCGCATGTAATTCTTTTTTATGACTGGAATGACCGGATGATGGAAAACAACTTTACAAGATATTTCCCAGTGTTTTCTAAAGTGGTTTTACCAGGTTGTTAACTTCACCAGCAATGAATGAGAGATTCCATAAACCACATCCTGTTCCACACTTGATATTGTCGGGCTCTATAATT